GAAAGAAAGAGGTGACCCTGAGGTATGATCAATTACGAGAAGAAAATCAACCAAGAGTATTTCTTTTAGAAGCTTATCCAGTGTCACTATCATAATCAAATACACTTTGGAGGGAAAAAAGAACACCTTTTAATGCCTTTTAGAGCCCAAATATTGAGTGTTATGCATATCAGTGTGATTTAGGAAGTACAGTCTCTTACGACCAAGAAAACATTTTCCTTTGCTAAAAATCCTGTGGCTCTGGGCCGTTCTCGAAGACTGGGTATGAGTTTCTAAAACAAAAACTAGCTATAACATTAACTGTACCTGAGAAGTTAAACCTGCAAACGAAGATATAAATGTTAGGCTTCAAAGCTCAGTAAAGGAAAAAAAAACTCCTCTATCATTAGTCTCACGTTTTACCATAAAAGAACTAAATCATTATCGTGTCAGAAGCACTGCAAATCTGAACAAAGCGAACAAACATCTTTACTGAAAAATTCGACGTCAAGAAAACACAACCTACTTGTGGGTAATTTCAGAGAAATAAAACAAGAACCACAGTACAGCCGAAAAAAAATCAGCTCTTCATCAGTTTTTAATTGCATTTTGACTTCTCTAACCTGCTTCCATGCGTTGAAGAGCAGATCATTCTGAATATTCTGCTAGCTTACATGACAGCCATCTTTGATGGAAAGGTTATCTAAGTATTAAATTCCTAAAATCATCTTTTTAAAATTGCGTGATAGGTCTGCATGTGCCTGGAGCAAGATCAGTCTTTAGAAAATTCCAGTTCTATTGGAAACATACTTTGAAATCATTTATAATTTACCTTTACCTTATTAAAATCTTCAAGCATCTCATACTCCATTCGTTCTTTCTCATTTGGGTGGCAATTCAAAAACCCTTAAGCTGAACATGTCAAATACATGAAACTTCCATATTCCCATGAAGAAAGATGATAATTAAAATTCTCCCCATCCTGCCATTTATATTAACCAAATAGGCCTTAGTAAACAGACCAGAAATCTATACAATGCACTGCATAAGGCTAACACAGGAAACTTTATGCATGCAGTATGTAAGGTTAGCGCACAGCCTTTCTGCTCTTTCCTGCTAAACTGGAAGCTGAATTTTTCTCCCCATCACAGGTGTCATTTGGCATAGAAAAGACCAGACTCCTAATAGTCGGCTTTATCTTATACTAATTAGCACATCACATTCCTCTTCCTTATCTGCAGATTCTCTACTACATATTAACACTTGCATTCTACTATAATTGTGACTTCCAGTCAAGAGACCCCAAGCATCCAGCTGTAGTGTTCTTCAGCAATTTCTTAGTAAAGTATTTAGAAACCTAAATAAACCTCTGTTACAGATGATAAAGCTCTCTAGCATCAAGGCCATGGTACGCAGCGTGCTGGGCAACGGATAAGAGATACGACTGGGATCCTCTGTCTCTGGGTCTCATGACTGTATAGAGACCTTCACATGTTCCTACCATTAGGTTCAGAAAGCGTCGCACAAGGATCACCACAGGCGGAAAACAGGCTTCAAGGATGCTGTGGACAGTAGTGAGCAGCTGATGCCCAGACCAAAACAGAAACCACAGATCTTCAGCATGAATTCATGCTAAGTGTGTCCAAGGAGAGATTCCCAAAGGTTACAAAAAAGGAAAACAACAGAAGGGGGGAGGGGGGAACTTTAATAGTATTTCCAAAGAAAACTTAAGAAAGGACTGAAGAGAAAACTTGGAAAAAATAGTAAATACACATTTTGTTGCTTGGGCAATGTGGCATGGGGTGACCAAATAACCCAGACTGACCAAGATAAGCCCAAAACAGGAACCTTTATCCAGAATCTCAAAGAATGTCACTAGGTCATTATTTTTTGCAAGTTTTAGAAATGGTGTATAAGAATTTCCCTCCCCGTTCCTTATAAACTGAGGCCCTGGAAAAAGCTGACAAACGGAGCACATGAATACTGCAAGATTACTTGCACCTAATTTCTCCTTTTAAAATTATGTATCTATTTTGACTCTGCCATGCAAACATATCCAGGCATGAGAACAAGAGGATACGGCCAGACTGCGCCCTTCAGATTCAGAGTCCTCGGTTTTAAGTTCCTGCAGTGTTCAGTTATCCAAAATTAGGGCAAATACACAAACTATTGCCACAAGAGTTCTGGAAAGCGGTGAGTACCAGAAATAAATCTGTAGTTGTGTTTTTGTTTTATACTCTTCATTCATTTCCATTCTCCATGGAACTCTTGGGTTTCACGATTCCCACAAGTCACAGAGCTAACGTTTAATATTTCAACACTGGAAACTGTTTATGGTCCCTTAATTCCAAGAATTGTGCAAGAAACTAAGCAAGTCAGTAACCATGGAAATTGTGGTACAGAAAAAAAAAAAAAGTTTCAGCAATATGAAACTGCAGTTTATTTTTAATTCTTGAAAACGCTAATGGTTCATATACCACATGTGGCAAATTCATTAAACATGTACAGTAACTAATATATATTAGGTGCTAAAAGAGAAAATCCTTACTACTGTCCTGTACTTTAATTACTCCATTTTTCTCTTCTGTCTTGCCTTTCCTCTCTCCCTTTATCAGAATGCTACATTTTCTTCTTTTGGCTTATGTACATCCTGTTTAAAAAAAAAAAAAAAGAAGCTTCAATAGACAGGAAAAAAAAAAAAAAGTACTCTCTGCCCAAAGCCATTTTTCATGCAAGAAGAGCTTACAGATACAATTCTAAGTATCAGTCGTATTTATGACCCTATTAAGAAATGGCTTTTGTAGGGTACTGTCCTTGAAATTTCTGCGAAGCATTCACATTCTGCTGATTCTAGGAACTTTTGTAAGGAAGCTGTTAAACAATCAATCCATGAATACACACCTGATTATATAAACTACAGTAAGTATTATTTTGGAATGAGAATGTTTCCAAATTCATATATTGAAAATGTTTAACAAATTGCCATCATCATAAAACTGCATCAAATGTTTAACTATCTAGCTAAAACAACCTACACAAAGGGCAGCACCTCAGTTTAACAGTTAACTCACTCACCTAAGAGTAACATTGATCCATCCCTTCGATACATATATGCACTTTACACGAAACCACCACTCAACTCAAAATAAAATGTTATTCCCTAAAGCATGGGCCAAACCCTTATGGTCACCTCTCACCTCACTACCCAAGCTCCACGTGGCCCCTTTACACAGCAGGGCAGCTTAGACAAAAAGTACCTTCGTCCCGAGGACGCTATGGTGAACCATCCTCCGAGATGTGGATTTAATCATATTGGGTCACACAGGACATAAAACGTTCTCTCTCACTTCCTGGGCAACAACACCAGCTGCCCAGCATGGGGACAGAGCCAACAGATGAAATCAGAGCCTTGACTACATCATGTTTAATTTTCTGGGTTTCTCCAAAGACCTAGGTGGAATTTAGGTGGCTGCTGACCCAGCCTTCAACTTAAGAGCACCCTACCATGCGAGATTCTCTGTTCCTTTCAACAAGTACTCCTCAGCACACATGACAATGGTTTAAGCATCCTCAAACTTTGAAATTAAATAAGGAGCCTCTTAATGAAAATAGGTGCCTATATGAAACAGTTAAAATAGCTTGGGAAAGGAGGCAGGATTAAACTGCTGTTTGGAACTGAAATGAGTTCAGGCACTCACTTCCCATGCCAGGCAGGATTCTAGTACACTGTCATTCATTCTCACATACATATTCAGTAATTTATAATATGGAAAACTATATAGTTCTCCACTGAAATTTCTTAATGCTCACATTTTTGTTGTGATAGTATCTAGACGCCTGAATTACACTGTTACATTAAGTCCTGCACAATCTTAAATAGAAACTTCATTATTTGTTTTAGTGATGGTGAGCAATTACACTGGTAACGAATGTAACTTAGAAACACTGAAGATTTTTCCACTCAACCAGCTATTTCAACCCAATACCTATTTTATGAAGAGATAAGGGACAGAACTTTCAAGGAATAAAAAGAGTTTAAAAATGCATGAAAAGAAATACTGATTCATTTGGGTTGAGGGTTTTTTTTTTTTTTTTTTTTTTTTTTTTTTACAAACAAAGTGACTTGAGGTAACCAGTACCTGTCTTCAATACTACTTAATTCTAAATGAAAAAGGCTATACTACGACTTCTCTGCTACAAAACAGTGCTTATAAATATCTTTCTGAAGCAAGCCTTTTACATTCCCAAAATTTCAGAAAGTGGAATGACATAAGGTTATAGCTTTTTTTAAGTTTTGTTTTTAAAATAGGAAGAACCGAAACTAAAAAACTGTCCCCAAAGATTTGGCAAAATATCACGAAGCTGCACAGGCTACGGGTTTTTGTTGTTGCTGTTAAACTACTAATCTTTATAAAAGACAAAGATACGTACACGTAAGTTTCCAGTGCTTCTGTAACACTTTGGGGAGTACGTTTTAATTCAATTGAATTCTTTTATGAACCTATTTAAAACAGAATTCAATGGCATAAAGATCAAGTCTCTGATCCTGTAAGTACCAGACATCTGGGGAATGAAGAAGTGAAAAGCCTAGATACAGCCAAGTCTTTCTCTGTCGACCCTGGTATATGTTATTCATATTTCTTGATATGAATAACAAACACCGTGAGTGTAGTGATCCTACTGGAGAAATGTGGTTGGAGAACTACTGGGATGGAAATAAAGTTGCAGAGAACTACAGGCAAATGTTAACTTCCACTAACAGCATGGTTACTGCTTTGGAACATCAGGAGGTGGCCACCTCTCCATAGCTCATAGCACTTTAGGAGTGTCTGCTTTGTCATTTCCACGTATCAAATGTATTTTTATACTTGATACTTACTTCGTACTGTATTAACAACAACATTATTTAATGTATTCTTTTTACTTGGATATCTAAGGTGCTTTAATCAAAACAATATGCACATATTTATCAAGTGAAGAAAAAAAAAAATACCGCAGAAAAGATAATTTGGACACAAACCCAACATGCCAATTATTTTTTATTCTCTTTGTACTACCACAGTCTAGTTTGAACACTTTTTTTCTTCAAAATCATGCACGTTTCACTGGACAGCACAAAACGTGTGCTACAATAACATTCAGATGCATTACTTAGATGACAAATCAAAATGCTGAAACACTGTACTTCTGAAATAAAGAAGTAGGCATACGGCTCTGATTCCAGCAAGTACTTATTATTTTTAAAATAGTAAACTATTACATTTTTCTTTCCATAACCAAACAATAAACACTGTACCGGGGAAAGACCACACACAGCAACAGATGCTCCGTAAGTTCAGACATCACATTCACATTACCCTTGCAACATTTAAATGTAGCTCAGGTGGTTGCATCTATTTAGAGCACTGATTGTGAAATTATGTAACTATAATAAATAATGCATTCACTAAATCAGCGATAAGGCATTACCTTATAAATAACTGCCAATTCTAATGATACATCAAGACAATCTTCCCTATAAACCTATCAACATTCTACCCAAAGTTCACAAAGTCAACTGCAATTACCGAACTCACACAGAATAAGAATGTACGTACCACCAAACAGGTATCTTAACATTTAAATGTCAACATATGTAATATTATGCTGCACGCATTAATTGACTAGTTAATGCAAAGTTTGATAAGGGTGTCACAGGTTGTGATACTTAACCTTCTGGCATCTCCTACATCAAACGGCAAAAATGCACGGTATTTACTGGTAAGTAAGCAGACTTAACTGGAATATTTAGAAGGAATAAGTATTATATCTCCCAACAAAAATGTAAAATCATAGAATTATTTTAAGAATGAAACCATGCTTCTGTAACATCTGCCCCTGATCAAACCTTTGGAAAGCACTTTAACAAAGAACTGAATTTTCATGCAATGACAAGTACTGCTTTATTTGGGGACGAAATAAAATATTTACTAGTAAGACGAATACAGGGAAGGAAAGTCTGAAGTACATTGCTTCTTGCAAAGATTATTTCTTCTTTCCAAGAAAAAGACTGAAAATAATCTAGACCCGTTAATCACTGAATTGAAAATTTAAACTACATAGCTAACATAACCACACACTGACAAAGTATTCCTAGAAAGCTACAAATCATGGACATACTCTATTTTAATCTGGCCTCTTTTCACAGGATACTCTCTCTTTCTTCTCCAAAACCAGCCCCATCTGAGGCAGCAACAGTGTGGAGCTCTGAAGAATCTTTGGAAAGCCTAGTATAACTTGATCGCTGGCTCCGCTTGTGAGCGGCACTCTTCAGGTTCTCGTTCTGAACTGCAGTTGAACTGGAACTTGAACCAGGGCGCAGGATAATTTGAGGTGAATCTCTGATACCTTCTATTTCTTCAAAATTTTGATTAGCTCTATTGGTTGGAGCACTGTTATTATTTAGCGTTACTGTACTAGGGGTTCTATTTAAATTATAGACTTTCTGGCAAGCAGGCCAGTTCTCTTCCGGGCTGCTCGCTATCAAGCTGCTTTCAGATGGGCTCTTCTTATCTTCCGAGCAAATAGACATGCGAACCACAGCTGGATCCTGAAGGCCACTAAGGCTGTGCGGAATTCCTCTCTTTCCACTGTGGCTGTCATCTTCAAGCTCAATGAGATTTGCCTTTTCAAGCTGTGACTCATCTGCTCCTTCATTATGGAGGGAATGATTGGGAGAACTTTCATTGGATCTTACACCAGAGTCAGAAGAATCTTTCTTATCCAAAAGGGCATCTGTCAAATATTCCTTTGCTTTGATGAATGTTCTAATCGGTTCAGATCCATGTTCTGGGGATTTGGGCTGTTTATCTATCTTTCCATCTGTTTTCTTGTCTTTACCTTCCTTAAGAAGTGGAGTATTATCTGATTCTTCAGTTCCTGACTCATCTTCATCACTTGGAAGTTTTTGATATCTGAGAGTAACTCCCTTAAGCTTTATATCTGCAGCCTGGAAAATGCTTGTTCTTTCTGAAGACTTCTTTCCTGGGAGAAGCTTGGAACCAGACTGATCAGATTTTTCATCTTCTTCAGTAATAGGATCCAAAGGAGATGCATCATTAGTAGAAACACCTGATGTACTGTAATCAACAACATCATTCCTCTTCAACAAGAAGGACTTCCTTCCATCATCTTGTTTCTGTTCACCATCTTTTCCTTTTTCTTGGTCTGCACTTGAATGCAGGGAACCCCCTGATGTGCTCTGCCCCATATAGAAAGCAGATGAGCTATGGGGGGAGGACCTTCCACTTACCGTAGTAGAACTGGCACCCCCTTCTAACTGTGACATTTGAGCAATATATTCTCTATATGCATCTCTATATTCTGCCTGCACCTTATCAGTTAGCTTGGATATTTCAATACTGGAATCTTGAGAGTTAAGACTTGAAAGACTTGGAGTTCTCCGAGTCTGTGACTGCAAAAGAAAACAAAACAAAAATAATTAAAACTACTTATTTTGACTTTTACTGATCATTTTAATTTAAAAAACTGAAAGCTTCAAGCATGCTTAAAGGCAAATTTTTGTTGTGAATAGATCATGGAAGAAAAAGTGCCAATGCTATAACTAAACTAATCTTAAACATGCTTATTATAATCAGATATTTGCATTCACGTGCTTTCCCCAAACTTGCAACAAAGCACTGTTATTGCTGATTCTCCAAACACAAGTTTTCTACAAAATAAGTATTTTACACAGTGCAATTGAGGCTAAGGCCTCTTAAGTATACTACTAAGTGTATACGTGAAGATAGACTTTTCTAATACATTTGCGTACATCTACAAAACGGACATTTTAAGTTAGGAGTTCATCTAAATGCTAAACATCCGTCAACATTTTTTGAAAAGACCTCCATCTCACACACTTCAGTATATCCTGACAAAATTCCATTGAGTCATACCATTCAGTTTAATCCAATAGCCAAATTCAGGAGGGGAGGAAAAAAAAAAAAAAAAAAAGGAAGTTCTCAGACGAACACATTCTTTGTCCCTCACCCCTCCTCTCTTTTAGCACGGTCACGGAGAACCTTATAGGCATGAAATGGTTGGTGACCTAGTAAGCACTAGAAGCAGGGTCTAACAAAGAGTTGAGCAACTTGAGCGGGTTGTGGCTGAACACAAAGCTTCGTGCCATGCCAGGCTGCTTGCTACCGCCTCCAAAAAGAGATATAGTGCTCAAGAGATTGGAGCTGATGCTTTACCTTAAGCAGTAAGTGATTAAAGCAAACCTATTAGACTTTATACTACACAAGAAAAGAGATTTTGGAAAACCTGAATTATTATTTATTTGGTGGCAACACTGAAAACGAACCATGTGTCAAAAAGCTAGCTACTAACAGAGATCACTGAAAAAAAAATCTAAAAGGGCTTGGACAATTTTAACAAGCTAAATGTAGATAGGAAAAGTAATGTACTGGTCAAATCAACTGGTGAACGAATTTGAGATTGCGAACAGAACTGCCTAACCATACAGACAAAACCCTTTCAGGTCATCCTTTCCTTTTTAGCTTCCATTTTTATTTCCTCCTTTTCCCCCACCTTTTTCCTGACCTTCTTACTCTTCTACTTCAGTTTCTTTTCTTCTCAGAAGATGCTTAAAACCCCCTCAGCAAGTAATGTACGCAAGGTCGGCAGGATACCTTTTGGTTACTCCCTTTGTATTACTAACAGCTTTCCGTAAGAGTAATAATCTTTTGTACACATCAGCATATTAGGAAGCAATCAAACATGATAAACTACAAATAAAACGGTGTTTAGGTGACTTCTGTGTTGCACGACTCCTACGTAATTCAATGCCCAACGCACACTGCAAGAATCTCAGAAATATTCATGCTTGGCTATTTATGCATATTCACTACTATTTATCCACATTCACTACAGCTACAGTTCACCAAAAAATAGAGCTATTTCATTGTATTATGCATTTCCACTAGTGCTCCTTTTCTTTACCGAGAATGAGCCATATTCTTTTTTAATCGATGCAGACTATAAACAATCTCAGACAGGCAACTTCTAATGTTTCCTAAAGATGGACAAACTACTTTTCTCACTCCTATGATTTAACTTAAGATATTTCTATGAGTACCAAAAGCACTATTTAAATTTGCATTTTGAAGAATGTTTTAAAAAACATTCGGGGTGTCTTACTATTTTGGTGCCCTTTCAAGATTTCCTAATTTGGACTCCTAAAACTAGAGACGAAAATGTTGCTACATGGCTTTTGGAAATTTTGACAACTACTGAGATACTATCTACTCATTTATCAACTGAATTGTCTTATTTCTAGTAAACAAACAGAATAAAAAAAAAGATAATCACATACTTCAGGTGATTTCAAAGGACAGAAGAGAAAACTGACTATCGTCTACGGCAGAAACAGTAGTTATATGAGGATGTCAACTCTAGAGTGCATGATTACATTATTTACTATCACAGGACAAAGCTCTCATGTCACTGAATGCTGCACTTGTTTGTTTAAAAACAACCTAATAACTATATCTGTAATCCTTTGAATGGTGTGACTTCTAACTAGCTCATAGCTAAAATATTTCATACGTGAAGTCTGAATATCATGGTTAACAAAAAACTTGCAGGACGCTGCCCTACGCAGGATGAGTAAAGAACAGCAGCTTTGGCTTTTTTTCCTGGAGCAGTAATTACTGCAACAGACAAAGAGTTTACAGATGGGAAAGACTGAAGACTTTGTTAGATATCTAAACAGGTAGAGTTTACACCTCTGCAAAACTTTGGTCTGTCAAGACAGAACCGAAAGCATCTGAACTGTCATAGCAGATTTACTTCTTGGCCTGTATACACACATGGGAAATAAAAAACCCTTACCATAGGGGTAAGCAAGCAAGCGCTCTGTTAAATACCTGCCAACTTAAGTTACTATGACGTGGAGGAGCTTCATCAAGGCCAATTGTGTTCAGTTCTTCAAAGCTAAAGTTAAGTGTGTAGGGAGCTTGACCAGAAAGACCCGTAAGCTCAGTGTGAGGCAACTCCGCGTTATGCCCCGGACGACGAGTAAGTTCACTATGAGAAATCGCAGCGGTAACATGCTCAGTTGCTCCACGAGGATCTTCCTGAGCAGCCTGGTTTTCTGAATTTCTCATTTCAAGTACCTTAACATGCAACAAAAGACAGTGTACAATGTCATTATATAGCAGAAAAAAATTTTCTCAAAATTGTTAAATAAGAACTGTATTAAAAATAGGAATAAGTAATTCAGTTTTAAAAGCACACTTGCATATGAGAGAAAGATCTGTTTACAAACCTAGTGCATTCATTGTCTTTACTGCAAATCACATTGTAATACTTGAGAATTTTATTTTATTTACAGACTATTCTCCTTACTGCACAGACCCTTAAAAGAATTTATACGCCACAAGTCGTTCTCAATAAATTCTTGTAAGACAAAGTGCTAAACTACAAATTTAAGAGCAGAAAACACATACTACATTTTTATACCTTTAGTAACCTTGAATCTCACAACAAACCTCTTCTTGTAATTTTCAGTGTTTTCAGGACTGATTTAGTAGTTCAGAGACATATTATAGTTTTCAGCAAGAAAACTGGCAACATACTAAAAATACTTAAGAGAATACACAGTTCTGTGACGCATATGCCTCAGCAGAAAACTGTCTTTTACTCTCAAATTGTGGGGAGGAAGAGGAGGAAAATCAGGTATATATGTATGCTTCAATAATAGTACTCAATGCAGCTTTCTTGCATCGTACAGGTATAGGCAAGTCAAATACTGTCTTGCAATGGTCTGATTTTTAGCTTAGCTTCCCTAAGACATGGAGCTTATGCAGTTGTATGCAATACATCTCTAACAGCCTGCTGTCCACTCCCTCTCCCAAATAAACTTGGGCTCCCTGACCAAGTTTAACAGAGGGACAGAGGCCTCAAAGAGGAATAAGTTCTGCCAATTTCATGAAAACAAGCAGCCGAACTTAAAAAGGCGGGGAAAAGGCCATCCGTTCAGGAAAGGCACACCTTATAAAAAAGAGAAGGGAAAAACTTCAGCTTTCACAATCAACTGAGATACCCAAATCTATAGGCAACCAGCTGTTAGTTAAAGTGCTCAATACAAAAAGACAAAGTAACAATAAACGTACTCACATTTTAAGATAACTAAGAAATAAAATGAAAGAGGAAAGAAAAAGTAAGTTTCATAAGAGAACACTAATTTAAGATGAGCTGGAATACTGAGGAGAAAGTCTCACCATGCTCCTGAACAAATGCCAGTCACCAAAATTCATATTCATTTCCTTTTTCAGTTCATCAGTGTTGCACTGAGCCAAGACACGGCCATTTATATTCGCCTAAAACAATAAAACCAAATAATGTAAATTACCAATACAAGATTTATGGAGTAAGTAACAGACTAAAGAGGTAATTAAAGTCAGATATATTGATGGGGACTACTAGTGAAATTCCCTAAACATTAATTCTTAAGTCCAATTCTATATAATAAATTAAAAAAAGAATATTTACTGATGATTGCTGATGGACCAGGATATAGCACAGGAAGAACTAGTGATGGAAACAGAAAAGGGACAAAGAAAGGCTACAGAATGATTAAGGGCAGGAAGAGCCTATCTTTCACGAAAAACTGAAAATATTTTATTAAATCCTTCAAAATGAGGATATGAAATGCAATATGGCTGTGTTCCATAAACTGACATAAGGAAACAAGACACCAGCGGTAGAAAGTTTCTAGACAATAAACTAGATTCAGCTGCCTCGATTTCTCAGAGTTGCAACAAAAATGGACCTCATATGTCCAAGCCTCTGAAGATAATCAGATAACTGAATCCTAAGCACTATCTAAGCCCTGGCTTGAGGCATTCAAGACCAAGCACTACCCTCCATAAAGCTCCCTTCCTGCATAAAGACAAGCTTACATTCCTCCTCCCCATCAGAAATAACCCGGGATGGAAAACCAGACATCCAGCACTTTTTCTAACCTTCTTCGTAATTCAGAGATCAACACAGAAGTGCCTAAACGCCATCTAAATCCCAGCACAGTGATCTCATATGTTAGGCATGTTTATACAGCACTTAACTCCTTCAAACGACACCAAATTCAACGCAGAACTACTTTCATTACATACCAACACAGGTACCTTTCTGATTTTTTTCTTGTAAGAGGGCATTTTCTCTGACAAATATAAGCTTATATTAAAAACGTGCTTCGAACTTAGCACGTATGGAAGTTAGTGTCATTTCGATATTCAATGTCAATTTCCAAGAAAAGGGGCTCATGTTTAAGTATTAAATACACTAATTAAACTCAACAGATACCTTTCTTATAGTTGCAGAGTACTGAGGTAACATACTCTGGTCCAGACCTTCTATTTGCTTTAGTTTCTCGCACACAGCATCCACACTCATTGTGCTCAGAGGCACGTGTGATACACCTGTGGTCGATCCTGTGCCTGCTCCTGCTCCCTATGAGAAGTGAAAAAATGTGCACGTAAGATTTGTTCAAACAGCCAGCACACCCAGAATTTGACAATACACACTAACACACATCAAACTGTGTTCAACTATGTTTTAATATAAATAGACTAGAATAATGATGGCGAGGCATTTTTAATTACTATCAGAATATCTATATATTGGGAAGCATTTACTTTACCATTTATTATCAGAAACAACACAGCAGCTTCAGTCTCGCCTATGTGAGAAGACTCTCTTAAATGTTATTTAAGAAGAGTAACATAAAAGTCAGAACTAAGTGAGGGTTAATCTATTTC